CCCTGAGCATGTGCCAGTGTGAACTTACAGCTCCGTTACTTCTGCGGAAAAGGAAACGCACACCACGGCAGGTGCACGCCGGCCGATGCGCCCGCTCTCGGGACGCCGCCGCGGTCCTGCCACCTCCCTACGCTACCACCTACCTAGCGACGGCCCGTGTGGCTGCAGGGAAGGGGCTGCGAGCCCGCGCAGAGGCTCCGGGCGCGCGCGCGCTCGCGTCCGGGCGCGCCTGGCTCGCGGCGGCGCAGACAAAGGCCGGGCGCGCGCGGGGCGCGGGGCGGCGCGGCGCAGGCGCAGACGGGCGCGGCCCCGCCTCAGGCCGCCGGGCGGCCGCCCCTCCGCCCGCCCCAGCCCTCGCCGGCCGGCCGCCGCGACTCACCGTCCCGGGCCGTGCCCATGAGCTGGTCCAGTAGGGCCCGCATCTGCGCCTGGGCGGACATGGTGGCCGACGGCGACGGCAGGGACGGCCGCGGCGGCTCCTCTCGAGGCGGCGGCGGCGACGGCAGCGGCGCAGGCGAGAGCGAGAGCGGATCGCGTCGGCCTTGAGCGTGCTCGGCTCCTTCCCGCCGCGGGGAACGCCGGGAGGAAGTGCGTCGGCGCCGGCGCGCAGGCTGCCGGGAAGTGTAGTTTCCGGGCGGGGACCGACTCGGCTCTGGACTACCGCGGTCCGGAGGCCAGCGTGCAGTGAGATCTGGGGCCAGAGAAAGTGTAGTGGGTAACACGATTGCCTTGAATGCAGCCGACCCGGGTTTGGTCCCTGGCATCACATATCCTCCCCCGCACCTGCCAGTCGTGACTCCTGAGTGCAGAGCCAGGAATTAGTTACCCTGGGTACGCTGCCGGGTGCGGCCCAGTATATGCAGACAGTCCCAATCAAAGAAAGAAACTCGTGTTTTCTTGCTATCTGTGGGCCACGAAAATATTCAGCTATGCTTAGATTTATCTTTCTTATATTTTTGGCTGGGTTCGAGGGGGAAGTCACAGCACACAGAGCTGAGATGCTAAACTCCCTTGGAAGTTTAAGGGACCACTCGGTGCAAAGCATGCATTCAACCCTTTGAGCAAGTTCTCTGATTCTTTTATAAAAGTTTAACCAAATATGTACTTTTAATGGTGTCTCTGTGAGCTCACAGTTGGCCATCCAAAGGGTAAATGCAGATATAAGAAGACAATCTCTGAACATTACAATGGGATTGTATCATGTAGATATGTATGTATGTATTCTCACACAAACGTTCATACTCAACGTCTGTTGTAGATTGTGGGTTTTTCTGATACTGTCTCCACTACTGAGATTGTAGTTTCCATCTGGGTCAGCTGCATGAAAGAGTAAACTACTATTTCCTGTGGGGCTTCCCCACCTCCATTCTCTACCTCCTAGTCTCCTAACACACACACAAACACATACACACACAAAATATATCTACAAGAGTACATGAGCACTGTCATCTCTTTAGTGTAAATTCAACTATGGTATTTCTGGTAAAACATGTTCTTGGGGTCTGGAGTGATAATATAGTACATTGGGAATTTGCCTTGTACTCAGCCAATAGAGTTTGATCCCTAGCACCCTACATGGTCCCCCAAGCATCACCAGGAGTGATCCATGAGTGCATAGCCAGGAGTATGTCCTGAGAACCACCAAATGTGAGGGGGGAAAAGAGACCTTCTTTAAAGGGAAAAATATCGCAGAAACACGTTTTGGTGGCTGGAAAGATAGTACTGGGCTAAGGAATTTCTTTTGCATACAATCAGCCCAACCCTAGTTACTTTCCAGTGCAACATGTGACCTCCTGAACATTACTGGGTATGACCCAAAAACCCAGAAAAGTTCTAGTTTTGCCACTTAGGTATGTTTTATGCTCCAGTGATATGGTATGTCATAGGCAATGTCTTCTGTGGAAATCACAAGTTGTATATTATGCTTTCTGTCACAAAGACAGAGCCTAGAAGGACTTTTCAGGTGCAGAAGGTAGCAATTTCCACTGGAGAATACTGCTTCAATCCATGTACCATGCAACATATGCAGCCAGTCCTGGTGCAGCCCAAGTTTCCTTAGCACATGTGGCCTGTGGCACAGTTCTCCCTGCACCCAGGCTGTATGAGCAGGTGACCTGATAGTACAGAGAGGGAAAGGATATTGGGAGTCTCTGGCAAACCCCAATAATAATAAGTTTATATATATAGTGCATAATAGGATCACATATACACGTATATATATAGAGAGAGAAAGCACGTGGGCAGATCTCTGGAGTTTGTGATAGCAGACTCTTAGTTTGTAATGGCTGTAGTAGCGGAGGACTTTTGTTTGAAAAATAGCTCTTGACCCAGGTAGCCTTGAGCACTTGAATTAGTTCCTATTGCTCCATATAAATTACACATTTTAGTGGTTTAGCACCACAAACTAGTCATACAGATCAGGAGTATGGGAGTGGTCTGACTCTGTGTTGCCAGCTCATGGTCTCTTGGGAACTTAGAATAATGTCAGTTCATGTTCCAATCCTCTAGGTTTGAGATCTGCTTCTAAAATGATTCTCTGAGGTCTCTGTTTCTCACCATAGGGGCCTCTTTCTTGGTCTTCTCACAATACAGCAGCTACCGACCCAAATCCAAAGGCAGACACTGACAAGATGGAAGCCACAGAGACTTTTGGATGTTAAAAATAACTGCCATCTTCTATTGGTCACATAAACCAATTCTACTACAATTTTATTCTTGTGGTGTTGGTTTTTTTTGTGTGTGTTTTTGTTTTTTTCATTTTTGGTGCAAACAAGGTGGTTCTTAGGGTTTACTCCTGGCTCTGGAGTGATAGCACAGCGGGTAGGGTGTTTGCCTTGCAAGCGGCCAACATGGCCGACCTGAGTTCAATTCCTCCGCCCCTCTCGGAGAGCCCAGCAAGCTACCGAGAGTATCTCGCCCGCATGGCAAAGCCTGGCAAGCTCCCCGTGATGTATTCGATATGCCAAACACAGTAACAATTGTCACAATGGAGACGTTACTGGGCCCGCTCGAGCAAATCGATGAACAACGGGAGGACAGTGACAGTGAGAGTGACTGGCTCTGTGCTCAGGAATCTCTCATGGTGGTGCTTGGGAGCCATATGTGGTGCCAAGGTCAGCTGCTTGAGGAGTTAAATCAAAGGCCCTTAGCTCATGTACTATCTCTGACTGCTTGTCCACAATTTTGGAGCAGATTACACATGGGTATGAATATCAAGAGGTAAGAGCACTGGGGACTGTCCTGGAGACTTGTAACCAAAGGGCCAGATCATAGGTAAACAAGTTACTTGAAAGCAGATTGTTGGGCTGGAGCGATAGCCCAGCGGGTAGGGCATTTGCCTTGCATGCGGCCAACCCAGGTTCGATTCCCAGCATCCCATATGGTCCCCTGAGCACCACCAGTAGTAATTCCTGAGTGTAGAGTCAGGAGTAACCCCTGTGCATCGCCGGATGTGACCCAAAAAGCCCTCCTCCCCCCCAAAAAGAAAGAAAGCAGATTGTCCTCTTAAACCAGTTATTGTTAGTACCAACAAGTCAAAGGTTGGTTTTCCCAGTCTAGAGTTCATAGGGTAGCAGAAGTAGTGCATCAGGCCCAAGAGGCACTAAAGAATAAATGTCATGAAAAATATATTAAACTCCCATTATTACATTCTTTCGTACCAGTTCTGTCTCTCAGTTCATACTTTTGGCCCCAGGGAGTACCCCATGACCAAATAACAAAGAACCCTGACCTGGCCTGTAGATTGTGCTCTGTCACAGCACTGTCCATCTCAGGAACTCTAAAGGGCAGCCAAGAGAGTCATGATCCCAGTGGGCGGGGTTCCAGGAAGTCTATAGAGTCATTGGCTTCATAAAGTACCCTGAGGTCTGGTTATGCATAAACTCCTAAGTAACTCAAGAGAAAGAAACAAGCCTCTGCCTCTTCTTTTTTTTTTTTTTGCTTTTTTCTTTTTTGCTTTTTGGGTCACAACCAGCCGATGCTCAGGGGTTACTCCTGGCTCTGCACTCAGGAATCACTCCTGGCGGTGCTTGGAGGACCATATGAGATGCTGGGAATCGAACCCGGGTCGGCCGTGTGCAAGGCAAACGCCCTTCCCGCAGCGCTATTGCTCCAGCCCCAAGCCTCCGCCTCTTAATGGAGGGAGTGACAAATCACGACAAAAGAGCACAAAGCATGGGGACTGATTACTGTGGCTATCAGTGGGAATACAATTCTGTCTCATGTTTATGTCAGAGGATCAATCAACAGTGAAGAGTCGGGGGCTGGAGAGAGGGTAAGAGAGAGTACAGCGGGGCAATCCCTTGCCCTGCAGGAGAAACCCAAGGACTAGAAGGACTCTAGTCGTTCCAAAGGGAAATGACCCCTCCCCCCACGATAACCCCAACCAAAGGGTTAGCGAAGCACGGTTTTCAAACGTTTTCACGGTTTTCAAATACATGCGTGTTTTACAAGGGGCGGAGACACGGCGGGGAGGACGTTTTTCGCTGCACGCACCCGAACCGGAACCGGTTTCGATCTACTGCACCGCACAGGGTCGTCCAAGCCCCGCCGGGGAGGGTGACCCCTAAGTACCGCCGGGTGTGGCCCAAATTGCATACATCCCCAAAATATAAACTTCTGTCGATCAAAAGTCACCCTTGGGGCTGGAGCAATAGCACAGCGGGTAGGGCGTTTGCCTTGCACGCGGCCAACCCGGGTTCGATTCCCAGCATCCCATATGGTCCCCTGAGCACCGCCAGGGGTAATTCCTGAGTGCAGAGCCAGGTGTGACCCAAAAAGCCAAAAAAAAAAGTCACCCTGAATTTTCAGGTCCCGCACGCCGCATCACCGAGGCAAGACCTCAGCCCCCAGTCCAGAACTGTGCACCACGCGGCCGCTGGCCCAGGACCAACCAGATCGGGAGCCGGGGCCGCACAGGACGCCCGGCCGCGGGCCCACCGCGTCGCCTAGCAACCGCGGGGCGGGGCCGGCGGCGCGCTTCCGCCCCGCCCGGAGCCGGAAGTGACATCAGGCGCGGGCGGCGGCGCGGCGCGGGCGGCGGCAGGTGAGTGAGCGCGCCCCGTCCTCCCTGCGCGTGCACGCGGGCTGCCGCGGCCCTCGGCGCTGAACCGGCCCGCCGGCCCGAGCCCGGCTCGTCCGCACCCCGGACCCCTCCGACTGCGCACCCTCGTCCTGCCCGGAGCCTTGGCGCGGGCCCTGCCCCCTGCGGCCCCTCCCGAGCCCCAGGCAGGTTCCCGTCGCGCCCGCCGCCAGGTGCCCCAGCGCCGGGGAGGTGACCCGCGACAGCCTGTCCCGGCAGCCGCTTCAAGGGCCTCCTGTCGCCGCACGCCGGCCGGACCCGGGTCTCTGACCTTGACTGAGCCCAGGCCGGTCGGGAGGGAAGGGGCGCTGCCAGGCCGTTAGCTGATGGGCCTGCTCGTGGTCGGTGCTGTGCTTTCAGCGGCCTGGAGTGCCCACCGGGTCCACACTGCCCCGAGTGTGCCAGAAGCGGCCAGCGGACTGGACCAGGACACCTGCCAGGTGCAGGAGGGTCTAAAACCGAGACACCTACTCCTCCCCCAGAGAAACGGCTCTGCTGTGTTAGCGGGGCCTACTGCCCCCGCTTCCCCACATCCCTGGCACTACTGATCAAGAACAGAGCAGGGAAGGGACCTGGTCACCTGCTGCTCTCAGCCCCCCATTCAGAGCTGGAGCGCCCTGGGAACTGGGGGGGGGTGGGGAGGGGTGCTGCTGGTTCTAACAGGGTAGAGCAGAGCCCAGGACCAGCCACGCCAGGCTCCTGGGAGCAAGCCCCATTTGATGTTTCTGATTCAGTCCCTGCTCAGCTACCCCTGTCTGCTGCCCAATAGAGCTGCTCTTTGCAGATTCCGCAACCATCTGTTTGTGTCCATCAGCCCAGAGCTTAATGGAGCTTGCCGGTATTTGGGTCAGGAACTTGAGTGGCACAGCGAGATTTGGGTTCAGGGGCTCAGATGGGGTCACCATCAAAACACTGGCAGGGGCTGGACGTGTGACTAGGGCAATTGGAGGCCGTCGTAACTGGTCAGCAGGCCGGGGCAGGGGTTCTGTTCTGCTGGGTGGCCCTGGCTTTAGGGCCAGTCCTTGTGAAAGCCACAATGCCTTTATGACTGGGGCGTGTTCTACTAGTTCTGCCACATTCTCTTTGTTAGCTGGTATTTCCCTTTTGTGTTGTTTTCTTTCAGGGCCACACCCAGTGTTGTTCAGGGGACCAGCAGTGCCAGAATGCAAACCCAGTACTCCTGCAAAGAGAGTGCAGATTCCTTCAGCCCTAAGACCTGTCAGTGTGGCCCTGTCTTTTGTACTTCAAAAGGATAAGGGGACTCGGCAAGCGGCAGCACATGGCTGACATGAGCGGGCCCTATGTTTAGTCAGTCCTTGGCACCACCTGGTCTCTGGAGCACCCTCTGCTGAAACCGGGTGGCCCTCAGTACTGCTGAATGGCTCCCCAAAAAATTGAAGTTAAGGCCAACTTGTCTCAAGGTCATCAAGTACTAATTTATTTTCTCGAGCGTGTTTTCTGAGGTCAGAAATGATGCAGGGATTGAGGCACTTGCTTAGATAACACCTAACTCTGGTTTGATCCCTTGGCATTGGTGGGTGCAGCTTTGAGGGCCCTGATCCGTGGAAGCCCCCAACACCACTTAGAACTCCTATCCCTCCCCCAAAAAGAACCATTTGCTTTCCTAATCCACCTCCACTTCTTGGAAAGACAAGAAGTCACACAGATTTGTGGCTGTAAAGGAGGTAAAATTTCCCCCTACAATCAGGGAAAGGTGTCTTATTTTCTGAGCAAACCTGCAAATCTTTTTCTATGTTATTTTCTGAAATGCAGACGGTTGTTTTTCTTGATCTTCATTCCTCCAGGAGGGGAGTTTGGAGAGAAGAGAGTACAGCGGGCAGGGTGTTTGCCTTGCATGCAGCCTATCCAGGTTTTATTCCCCAGCATCCCGTATGGTCCCCGGAGCACCGCCAGGAGTAATCCCTGAGCATTGCTGGTGTGGCCAAAAAGAGAGGGGAAAAAATTGATGTTTATGTGCAGGTTGGGGAAAGGCACTGAGAGGGTTATGAGTAGCCCCAGCAGAGACTCAGAGATAGAACTTAATCTTTATCCTGGATCTTGGTGAACATTTCTTCTCATTTGAACACTGATTAAGTGCCTGTCCTTTTGGTGAAAAGTGGACGTAGTTGTCCAACTGTAAACAACCAAAACACTATAGCTGTCATTGTCCAGCTTCTGCTTTGCTCAACAGAAAAGGCCAGTGCTGCCCTGTGGCAGTTGTGGGTGTCTCCCTTTGCCCTTGAAGCGCTTGGCTATAATTCAGGCCTCCTAATACAAAGACTCCGTGTGTGTGTGTGTGTGTGTGTGGTGTGAGTGTGTGGGGGGGGAATCACACCCAGGGCCTGACACATGCTAGGCAAGCTATCTCTCGGGCCCATAAAAGATTTGTTTGTTTGGAGTCACCCCCAGCTGTGACCAGGGCCTACTCCTGATTCTGTGCTCAGGGATCACTGCTGGCAGAGCTTGGGGAATCAAGTGTGATGCCAGGGCTCGAACCCAGGTCGACTGTGTGCAAGGCACGCGCCTTACCCGCTGTATTATCTCTCTGCCCCATAAAAGACATTCTTAAACCACTTGGCTCCAGGCACAGTGCAGATATCCTGCCCTTAAGTAGCTTTTCTTTCAGCCACAGCAAGGGTCTGAGGATTCCTCTGAAAGCCAAGTGAGAGGAGGTGAAGGGCCAGGTCAGTGGTGCTCGAGGCGAGCACCCTTGGTCCCATACTGGGCAAGAGCAGCAGGTAGGAAAGCTTGAAATTCTCTCCCTCACCACATGAGTCATAGTACAAGCCCAGAGGGCAAAGGTAATTGGAAGAAAACAATAGATGGCAAGAAGCACCTTCTTCCATCTTATATAGTTTCTCTCTCATTCTTATTTTTATATTTAGTTTGGTTGGGGGGGCCACACCCAGCAGTGCTGAGGGCTTCCTCCTGGCTTTTCATTCAGGGATCACTCCTGGAAGGGCTCAGGGGACCACATGTGCCGGGACCCAGCCTGGATTGACTGCAGGCAAGTGTATTTCTTTGGCCCTTCTTCGGATTTATTTTTAGAGCAGCCCCTGTAGTTCTCTCTCCATACTAGAAGATGAAATAACAGCAAGGTTTCATGTCTCTGGTAGCTGAGTAATATTACATCTGGCCGTAGTCCACAGCTGGGTTTTTTTTTTGGTCATTCAGGTAACACACCTGATACACACACCTGATAACTCCAATGTTTTTGATGAGCAAAATTACTGCACCTTCACCTCCACCCGCCTGCCCTGACCCTCCACCACTGTCCTTTTGTCACCTCTGTCATTCCACCTCTCCCGCCCCCCACAACTTCATCCTCTGGCTTGGCCACTTGGAGTTCTTTCCAGATTTGGCTGGTGTGAATATTGCTGCAAGGAACATAGATGTGCTTATCTTCTCAAAATTAGTGTCACTTTCATTTGGACTGATCCCTAGGAGAGGCATTGCTGAATCACATGATAAGTCTATTTTTAAGTTTTCAAGACAGAACACACTTTTCCTTAGAGGCTGATCCTTTTAAGCTCCACCATGAGTGAGGGCCCTTTGCTCTGCATTCTCCCCAGCACTTCTTGCTGGCCTTTCTTGATAGGCCATTTCCTTTTTCTGTATGTTTAGTTCTTCTCCCCCTCACCGACTATTTTTTTCCAGTAAGTGGTTCTTTTTTAAAAAAATTTTTTAATTGACTATCCGTGAGATTTGCTCGAGCGGACCCAGTAACGTCTCCGTTGGAGACTTTGTTGTTACTGTGTCTGGCATATCGAATACGTCACGGGGAGCTTGCCAGGCTCTGCCGTGCGGGCGAGATACTCTCGGTAGCTTGCCGGACTCTCCGAGAGGGGCGGAAGGATCGAACTCGGGTCGGCCGTGTTGGCTGCGTGCAAGGCAAACGCCCTACCGCTGTGCTATCGCTCCAGCCCTAGAACATTACAAAGCTGTTCATAATTGGGTTTCAGTCATATAATGATCCAGCACCCATCCCTCCACCAGTTCACATTTCCCACCACCAATTCCCCCCGCCTTTCCACCACCATCCCCCAGCCTCCCTCTATGGGGGACACTTTCCTTCTCTCTCTCCTTTTCCTTTTGCGCATTATGGTTTGCAATACAGGTGCTAAGAGGTCATGGTGTTTGTTCAGGAGATTCAGCATTTTTATCAGGGTGGTAAGGCTGGAGTAACTTTTCAATTGGGTGGAAACTTTGGGGTGTGGATGTGACTGCCAAGGCTTCTGAAAGGACAGGGAGGTGGGAGGAGGGTAGCCCATCCCAACCCCGAGAAAGCCTGAGATTGCAGTCACAAAACCTACATACCAGAATTTTCAGCAGATTATGTCTTAGTGAAATTCGTCCTGAGACAGTGGAGTCCGGTGGGGGTATGGCGGCTATGCACAATTTTGGATTGTGCAAGCAAGCAGCTGCGGGGGGCTCTGCTCGGGTGGGCATAGGCCAACCCACCGTCCCCTCCGATTTACTACTCTGTTCAACTCTGCACGGGTCTGAACTTAACTGCAGTTTTTGATCTCTTTTGAGATTTATTTGTGGGTCTCTGAGGCAAGGTCAGTAGTAGAGCTTACCTGGTGGTGCTGCAGGTGGTTTGTGGGGGTGACTGCCCGTGCGTCCATGGTATTGGGAGGCCCTCACTGACTTTTGTGTGGAGTTTTGTGAATTCTTTATATACCTTGAAAATTAGCTCTTTATCAAATGCACGGTGTATGAATATTTTTTAAAAACTTAGGGATTTTGCATTTTCCTTTTTTTTTTTTTTTTGCTCTTCTTTTGGGGGCCACACCTGGAGGTACTCAGAGTGTTCCCAAGCACCTTACCGCTGTACTATTCAGGCACTTCTCTTGTTTTGTTTTGTTTTGTTTTTGTCTTGTTTGGTTTTGCTTTTTATTTGATTTATTTTGTTTCTGTTTGTCGGAGCAAGCATCTTAGTGCTGCTGCTACACTACCTCTCT